CGGCTGTACGCCGCGGCGACGCGCCACGAGCCGATGATTCGGCCTAATATAGCGAACTCCCGCGCTCAAAGTCGACGCGTTGCCATTGATCTCCTGAGCGTAGAGTTTTTTTCTTCTTCACCCGTCATTAAGGAAGAAAATAAAAATGAGGGAGCGTTCGCTGTCCCCTATTCTCTCTTTTTTTTTTTTTTTTTTTTTTTTTAAGATTCGCGAAGCAGAGCCTCGCCCGGGCTATGCCTAATTGGGGAGCCCGGCATTGTCTCTCTTCTTCCTTCTCTCTTATGTGTATGTCCTTGCTTCGTATCTTCCACATCTCTCTCCTGGACTTTAAGAAGTCCTTAAAGCCAGTAGTAGATTTGGGGTTCATATAAGAAAGCATAGGAGGGGGATATTATATTTTCTTTCGTTGTTCTTCTTTCTTCTTTCCCTGCTTTGTATTTTCCTCCTTCCTTTCTCCACGATAGGGTTATCTCGTGTTCTCCCTTTGTCACCTCCTGGGCAATCACCACTGCTGGCCAGAAGGTTGCCTTGTTTCTTCACAGGCTTTGTTGCTCGACCTGACGTGTGTAGGGAGACGGTCCATGTCTGCCTCCACCTCTTAGCCATACAAGTTTTCATTTGCTGTTGCCCTGTTTAACTTTCGTCTCGTACCCTTCATCCTCTTATATGTGGTCGGATTGGCGTTGATGTTTACTCTCATAGAATCATATATTTCTATACGGTTTTCCTATACTGTTGATTTATGTTATGCCCATCTCGTTAACTTAGTCTCTAAGATTAATCTTAAATGAAGTAGGGCCAACGCCATTACTTGGATTTCACATTCTCAGGTGGCATCCAAAATGTTTAACGGGAAATTTCAGAAAGCATTCTTTCTAGGTGGTAAGAATACTACACCAGATATGCTCGAGAGGCCACCGAGGTGTGCGGGTGTATCTCAGAGGCAAGGATGGAGATCTCAGAAAAGCGGCAGCCTCTGGGGGGCCCCCGGATCCAGTCCTGGCCAATACGCCGCAGCTCTTTCTGAGCTCTGCTATACAAGTACGTGAAGGTGCAGGCGCGCTGCGATGTTATCATATATGGTGTCTCTTGTCAGCACACACACGCACACGCACACGCACACGCACACACACACACACACACACACACACACACACACACACACACACACACACACACACACACACACACACACACACACCTACACACACACACACACCTACACACACACACACACCTACACACACCTACACACCTACACACCTACACACACACACCTACACACACACACACCTACACACACACACCTACACACACACACCTACACACACACACACCTACACACACACACCTACACACACACACACCTACACACACACACCTACACACACACACACCTACACACACACACACCTACACACACACACACCTACACACACACACCTACACACACACACCTACACACACACACCTACACACACACACCTACACACACACACCTACACACACACCTACACACACACACCTACACACACACACACCTACACACACACACACACCTACACACACACCTACACACACACACACTCACACACACACACACACACACACACACACACACACACACACACACACACACACACACACACACACACACACACACACACACACCTACATACACACACCGTGTTAAAATTTCCCTGGACCTGACAATATTGTTTCTAATTTTCCTGTTTTGTTTCAGGAACTTCTTACTCTTTTGTTTGACCCGAAAATCATGAAAGAAGATGAACTATGGCTAGCAGGTAATTAACATTCTTTTCTGTAGTTCATGTAACTGTGCGTGTTTGCAAAGGTTGTGGGGACGAGAGTAATGGTAAAAGTAATTATATGAATTAATAGAGGTAAAGAGAGAGGGGGGGGGGGAGAGAAAGAAAGGGAGAGGTAAGAGGGGGAGGAAAAGGAAGAGGAGGCAGAGAGGGAGAGGGAGAAGAGAAGAAAGAAACCGACAGATAGATAGTGGAGAGAGAGAGAAACTAAGAGAAAGAGAGAGAGGGAGGGAGTGAGGGAGGGAGGGAGGGAGGGAGGGAGAGAGAGGGCGGGAGGGAGAGAGAGAGGGAGGGAGGGAGTGAGGGAGGGAGGGAGGGAAGGAAAGAGAGAGAGGGAGGAAGGGAGAGAGAGAGGGGGGGGTGGAGGGGGAGAGAGAGGGCGGGAGGGAGGGAGAGAGGGAGAGGGCGGGAGGGAGGGAGGGAGAGAGAGGGAGGGAGGGAGGGAGAGAGAGGGAGGGAGGGAGGGAGAGGGCGGGAGGGAGGAAGGGAGAGGGCGGGAGGGAGGGGGAGAGAGAGAGAGAGAGAGAGAGAGAGAGAGAGAGAGAGAGAGAGAGAGAGAGAGAGAGAGAGAGAGAGAGAGAAAGAGAGAGGGAGGGAGGGAGGGACGGAGGGGGGCGGAGAGAGAGAGAGAGAGAGAGAGGGTAGGGGGGCAGAGAGAGAGAGAGAGAGAG